GCCAGTGGCGGCAGACCCCCTTGCTATCCGGGTTGGAGCCGGAACGGCGACTCCGAAAAATAAATACTAGGCTACATATGGGAGAGGTAGAGTCCTAGTCCTTCCAAGATCCTGCTCGTGCAGGTGGGGGGTCATTTTCGATTTACGGTTTTTTTATTTATTATGGGGGAGGTAGACGGCTGAGGGCAAACCTGGGAGACGGCTAGAACACGCTCCTTTCCTAAAATCTCTGTGTGCGGCCTCGCGTGAGTGTTTTCTTTCTTTCTTTAGTCGAATGGTTGTGTTTCGCGTCGTGGTTTCGTACCCCGCAAGGCGCGCGATACTCGAGTACACCTCGTATCAAGTTCCTGGCTACTCAATCACTCAAATCCTTGGGCTCGACCTCTCTGCTCTCTCTCACAAATCTCTCTCCGCCAACAACGCCTCGCTCGCTGCCGCTGGTCGACTATCCGCCTCCATCCTCTTCGCCCTCGCCGCCGCCGGCCCCGCCGCCGTCCGCCTCGCCCTCACCTCCGCCCTCGCCGCCTCCGCCCTCGCCGCTGCCATCCCTCCCATCGCCGCTGCCAACGCCACCGCCAGCACCGCCAACAACGCCTCGCTCGCTGCCGCTGGTCGACTATCCGCCTCCATCCTCTTCGCCCTCGCCGCCGCCGGCCCCGCCGCCGTCCGCCTCGCCCTCACCTCCGCCCTCGCCGCCTCCGCCCTCGCCGCTGCCATCCCTCCCATCGCCGCTGCCAACGCCACCGCCAGCACCGCCAACAACGCCTCGCTCGCTGCCGCTGGTCGACTATCCGCCTCCATCCTCTTCGCCCTCGCCGCCGCCGGCCCCGCCGCCGTCCGCCTCGCCCTCACCTCCGCCCTCGCCGCCTCCGCCCTCGCCAGGCCCCTCGCCGCCGCCGCCAGACGCGCCGCACCCCCACCCGCCGACCCCGCCGCCGTCGCCAGCCCCGCCGCCGCCGGACGCGCCCCACCCGCACCCGCCCACGCCGCCGCTGCCCCTGTCGCCGCCCTCCGCCTCGCCGCTGCCGCCCTCGCCAGGCCCCTCGCCGCCGCCGCCAGACGCGCCGCATCCCCACCCGCCGACCCCGCCGCCGTCGCCAGCCCCGCCGCCGCCGGACGCGCCCCACCCGCACCCGCCCACGCCGCCGCTGCCCCTGTCGCCGCCCTCCGCCTCGCCGCTGCCGCCCTCGCCAGGCCCCTCGCCGCCGCCGCCAGACGCGCCACATCCCCACCCGCCGACCCCGCCGCCGTCGCCAGCCCCGCCGCCGCCGGACGCGCCCCACCCCCACCCGCCCACGCCGCCGCTGCCCCTGTCGCCGCCCTCCGCCTCGCCGCTGCCGCCCTCGCCAGGCCCCTCGCCGCCGCCAGACGCGCCGCACCCCCACCCGCCGACCCCGCCGCCGTCGCCAGCCCCGCCGCCGCCAGACGCGCCCCATCCGCACCCGCCCACGCCGCCGCTGCCCCTGTCGCCGCCCTCCGCCTCGCCGCTGCCGCCCTCGCCAGGCCCCTCGCCGCCGCCGCCAGACGCCATTCCCTCCCGACGGTGCGCCTTCGCCCTCACCGCTGCCTCCTCCACTAACGCCTCGCTCGCTGCCGCTGATTGCCTCCCCTCCACCGCCCTCGCTCCCGATCGAACTCGTTCCTCCATATCCGCCCGGCGGTGCGCCATCACCACCGTCATCAGTTCCTCCGGCCCCATCACTAGCGCCACAGTTCCCGCCCGGCATGGCGCCCTCGCCGTCGCCGCCGACGCCTCCGCTGCCCTCCCCGCCGCCGCCTCTGCCGACCCCGCCACCGGCTCCGCCACCGCTGCCTCCCTACCCGCCCGGCTTGAGGCCTCGCCGTCGCCGCCGACG